CCTGCTGCTGCTATTATTACTATAAAATGGTGCATTCCCAGGAGTTGGATCTGATTATTGGGGCTGCCTATAAAACCTGACTTCAAGTATTACTCTCCAGAAGTCACATTTTCTCAACTTTTTATAAGAGTCTCCAAGGTTATATGGTTTATTTTGAAGTCACAGGGCATGTAGCTGATCAATTGGCGGGTATTTAATAATTGGTTGAGGGGTTATTGCATGTATTTCTGAAGGCACAAAGATCAGTAGTGCCCACTTCCTGTCCTAGTGATAAGCAGGCATACCAATCACCACAATTCTGGCAAGAAGGTCACCCAAAGTTTGTGTATTGAGATGAACTAGGGGTGCACTATAGTGCAGAGGTAAGAGTGTGCAGGAAACCTTGGGTGGATGGACACTTGCCCTCCAGGGTGTGATATCCACAGGGAAAGCTGGACTGAGTTCTGAAGGTGAGAAATTGGGATGTATTCACCCAGCAGACCAAGCACCTTCTCTGTGCCAGACCTGGCTAGGAGGCAGAGGAGCCAAGTAGTTCTCCAACAGCGCTGCTGCCCTCCAGGAAGGGTGTGCTGTTCAGTGGAAGACACAATGGCAGGACAAGTATTAATAGATTCCACACCCCCTCATATCCACCTGCTCCCCTCCCACCCCCCACTGCTAGAACTGAGGTATCCAGGAGCCTGCAGGAGCCTGGGAATCAAGCCCTAGTCCTTGGTTGGGGTAGGGAGCAGTCTTCTGATCCCCATTGGGGATGTGGTCTCTGGAGATGGCATCCACAGCTCGGGGATAGGGACTGTACCCCCTTCTATTTTTTAAGAGAGACTTTTAAGGGGTGACCTCCTGACCTCCAGACTGTTCCCCTTCACCCTCCTGGAGGTTAAGGAAAGAGAGCCTCCAGTGGCCTCCAGTTTAGATGCAGGTCGAAGCCATGGTTTGGCCTTCTGACTCTAGGTCCCCTGGGCACTCTTGGGGAGCTCAGCCAAGACCAGAGGCCTGAGTCAGGTCCACAGGAAGTGCAGGGCCGAGATGCGAGTGCCTGGCCCAGAAGGTGGGAGGGGGCGATGGGCAAAGGGGTCAAGCCAAGGGAGCAGGCGGAGCAGCGGGAGTAGAGGACGGCTGGTGATGGTGGGAGGGAGAGGGGTCCGGCCGGTGCTGAGGTGGGGGCGGCCCCTGGGGAGGGGCACGCTATGTCTTTAAGAGCTGCCTGAGCGCAGGTTGCAGCTGCCTGGCTAGCCCGAGAGACAGCGGAGATTCATTACCCGCCGACACAATGACCATTGATGGCCCCGTGGCGTTATTCAAATCCAGTACCAATTGCAGCCGAGCCCCTTTCTCCGCGCCAGGCCCGTATTGTTGGAGCGGCCCACTAAAAGCCCGCCCCGGCCCCTAGCCGCCAGAGGCGCCCGCTTGGGTTCAGCCCTGCACCTCGCCAGTCCACCCGGCTCCCAGCCCGGCTCCCCGGGCGCTGCAGGTGACCCGGCGGTGCATTCCAGTGCTCGCCGCTGCCGGGCCACTACTGCGGCCGCCGCCGCCGCCGCCACCACCACCACCACCACCACCACCACCACCACAGCCACCGCAGGCACCCCGGCCGGGACTCATCTTCAGGGAAACGGAGAGCGCCCCAGCCGGTGCGTGCGCGGGGCTGGGCGGGGGCGGGAGACCCGTAAGTCCAGCAGCCAGGACTCCGGGCTCAGAAATACTACCCGGCCGTGGTGGTCTCCCACTTTCTGGATTCCCGGCGAGCCTGGGGAGTCCAGGCTGGGGGCTGGGAGAGGGGTGTCGGGGTTGCCGGGCCTGACAGAGGAGATTCCCCCCAACCTGAGGCGGCGTAGAGACGTAACGTGGGCAACTCTGGGGACCCCGATCTGCGATCGATGAAAACACAGGCCAGGGGCGATGGGGTTACCCACGCAGGGTCAGGATCCGCGTATTTGTTTGTACACCTTACCGCGGGATGGGCAGTAACTGCTGAGCGTCTGCGAGGTAGTCGGACACACAGTTCCGGAGATCTCCAGGTCCCGAGCTTTTAAGAAGCGAAACAAACGCGACCGAACAGGAAACCGGGGCCCTTAATTCAGGGGCTTCGCCACTGATTGTCCAAACGCAATTCTTGTACGAGTCTGCGGCCAACCGAGAATTGTGGCTGGACATCTGTGGCTGAGCTCCCGGCACAACAGGGGCCGGGGCCGGTAGGCACCAAGCTCAGAGCAGGAGAGACCCCCCGGGGTGGCGGCTGGCTGGCCCCAGCGCAAGGATCCCGGCCCCGGCCAGCCAGGCGCACAGAGGTGGGACGCCCGACCCTGCCATCAGCGCCACCATCCACATCTTCGTCTTCCTGCTCTTTTTCTGTGATCGGTCCTGGCTGGTGGGGTTCTCCAGTCAATCATTTCGTTTGTCCCCCTTTCAAATTTCGGCTGGAAACGAAACTGACACGCAGCAGCAGGGCAGAATGTGATGCGGGGTGCCCGCCCTCGGGCCAAAACCGCAGGAAGTCGGCGGGGGGGGGGGGGCGAGAGAAGATGCCTGCTAATTCATTTTGAATCGGTCTAACCTATTCCTTCGCAATATACCACAAACAAACAACGCCCCCCCACAAACCAGCTCCTAAATCCCATGCAAACCGAACCCTCCCGGCAGCCCCTCCAGACCGACCGATGGGCTGCGCCTTCTTCCGCAGTGGAAGAGGAGCCAGAGAAGAGTCGGGAATGATGCGCTCCAGTGGGGCACTACCTTGGCTTTGGAAATATAACTTGGACAAATGAGTCGTTTTCATTAAAAAAAAAATCTTTGGAGATAATGGGGTTTATTTATTCATTTATTTCCTCAAAAAGGAGGCCAACACAACAGGAGCTGTTAGGCGTGAGAGGGTGGTTGGGATTTGCTGAGGCTGAGCTCAGGTCATCTGTCCCTGACCCCTCTCCTACCTAGATTTCTGTCTAAATGATGCTGAGTGACCTGGTCTTTGACAATTTTGGCTGTTAAACATGCAGTCCCAGCTGCACTAAGAATTGGGTTTTCCAGCTTTGTGTCCTGTCCTACTCTTGGCATAATTAGGGTGCCTTGCAGGGGGAAGGGATATCCTGAATCTCCCTGAGCCACATTCTTGCCTAAGATCAGAGGGAAATGCATCCTAGTACCCAATTTTCAGTGCCAAGAATCCCAGGGTGGGCAACAGACAACAGAGGCAGCTCAAAGGGGCTGGAAGCAGGGAAGGGCTTCCAAGTTCAAGAATCTGGGCAGACTGACCCTCTAAAATATGGCCATAGGTGGACCATTCAAATCCTTGTTCTGTTCCTTAACATGAAGGCACAGGCCTCAGAACCTAGTTAAGAGTTGGTCATACAGCCTGTCTAGACAGTACTGAGAGCCCAGCACTGGCCTGAATTCACATCTAGACCAGCTTCTAACCAAGTCCCAACATGGCCGTCCCTACCCACACACATGCCCAGAAGGTCTCCACTGACAGCAGCCCACCATCCAGGGGGTCATCTGTCCTCTGAACCCCCAACAACTGCTGAGACAACCATTTGGCACTCTCATCTCTACAAGGTGAGAGAAATTGTACTTTAAATAACTGACATTTAATGAAAAGCACCCTTTCGAGCTGGATGATGTTAATGCTCTAATATTTCTGAGATCTCTCTCCAGCAAACAAAGCTTTTTTCTCCAGGTTCTGGGAAGAAAAGGGTACTCAGCAGCGTCATCTATGCCACTCCTGTTTGGTTCGGGGCTGCTGGCTCCAGCTGGGGGGACAAAGCCTGATCTCAGCCAGCAGGTTGAGCAGCATCCCAGGACGAAGACTAGTCACAGACTAGCTCTGTAGCCCCTTCAGACAGTCTCCATCGGATCACACCTCCTGCACAGTCTGGGTTGTAACCCTGCCCTCTTTTGGGGTGAAGGGCAATTCTGAGAGCCCTAAGCTGAAGACACAGAGGTTGTGGAGGTGCACATCGTTTCTAAGGATGAAGCTCCAAGCAAGGCTAGTAGACAACCTAATCTTTTATTTGCCCAAGGCCAGCTGTTGCAGGCACTAAGGCCCCACACTTCCAGAAGAGATGGAGGGAGGAGGGGTAAATTACCCTTCCACCAGGCCCTGTCTGCCTCCATTCTGCTTCCAGCAAGGAGGTGGGAAAGGAGCTAGTCAACATTTGGGTCATCAGGTATCATGCCCAGTTTTCAGATGAGCTGATCTATAACTACACACTTTGATGTACAAGAGGAAACTAAGGCACGCTGATCCCTCCAGGTCTCTATTTGCCAGTCCAAAGTTTAAACCACTCCTGTCTCCTCACCACCCAGCAGGGTTAAGCGGCAGGCAGCCTTTTGCTGGAGGAAGGTCTTAGGAGCCCATCTGGTGGCCTGTGTTGGGTGAGGCCAGCCAGGGTCAAGGGCTGGGGGTGGAGAGAGCAGGAGGAGGGGTGTGGTTGGAAGAGCAGCTGCTGGGTGGTGGGGGAGGGGGTCAACAATGAATAGGGGACCCCAGCTGGGGTTCCATAATGATATCAGTGGGGGACAGGCAGAGCCCTCTGCTGTCCAGATGGGGAAACTGAGGCGGAAACTTCTCTGATTTTTGAGAAGAGAAGGGTTTCCATCAGCTTTTCAGGTCCACTTATCTTCCTCCCAAAGACACACTGGCCTGGAGAGCAGTTACTCCACACTCAGATTGAGACACAGGAATTGAGGGAGCAGGGCTTGTTCTTTGGTCCCAAAGCAACTGAGTAACCTGGCCACAGAGTCCACCTCCACTCCAGGCAAACTAAGAGACACCCTCCCCCTACCTCAGCTGCTGGGAGAAGGATTGCTGCCTTTCCCAGCTCACGTGCCTGAGAAAGGATCATTTTTAGCACCTGGCCTCTTTTCCCTGCCTAGAGGGAGCTCAGGGGATAGAGCAGGGAAGAAAGCAGCCAAGGGGACAGGGAGATCTGGAAGCAGGGCCCAAGGAGACATCTGATTGTTCTCTTGTCCCCCCCAATGGTACCCATGCACAGAGAGGGGCCTTAGCCTCCATGCAGCGTGGATATGAAGAGGACGCTGTCCTGGTCCTGAAGTTGGTAGTCGAGCTCACCCTAGTCCAGGAGAGAGGAAGGGGAGACAGTCAGGGGCACTTTTTCCATCTCCCCCTCACGTATCAGAAGGGGAAGGGGATTGCCTTGCTGTTTTGGGAGAGCAAGAATCTACCAGAAAATAGCTACCTGATATGTTAACCTGCAAAGCTCTGGTATGGAGAACTCACCCCTTCTCCCAGCTACCTATTCTTTTCTTACTTAGGGGTGGGCCTCAGTTCAGGGGATGGAGTGGGGAGGAGGAAAACCCTGCTACTCCCCAAGGCACTCCTGCAGAAGTACTAAGGGCAGGGGCTGGGGGAGAGATGTACTGACCAGTAGTTCCCAGTCGGCATCATTAATCAGCACAAGAATTCCTGGCCGCCTGTAGGAAAGAGGGTGGTAAGCAGTAGGGAGGGAAGGGCAGGAGGAGAGAGCCTTAGACTCCTTGAGCAGTAGGGAAGGGTGATGGGGAGCCTTTCCTTCTGAGCTTCTACTTAAAGATCTCCCAAGAAGAGGAAGCTGCAGTCTGCATCTAAAGAAAGCCAGCTCAGACAGTCCTGCACTTTGGAACTAGGGGCAAATTTCAGTGCCACCAATGGACTTTGGGCAAGGCATTTTGCTTCTGAGTGTCAGTTTTCTCACTGTAAAGCTGTCTTTTCAATTACAGTGTCCTCCTCACCATGTCTGTGTGAGGATGAGAAGTGATGACACTTGTGTGGGCACACGCCTGCCTCTGTGTGTCCTGGCTGGCGACCATTCCAGGAGAATGACTGAACTTTCCTTGGACCTAGAAGTTAAGAACTTTGGTTTTCAGGCCTTCTACATTTCCATCTTGGAAGGAGTCTATCTTGGCTCTTCTTGATCAGGGGAGGCTGCCAGGGCACCAAGCACCTGAATGCTCTAAAGCAGCCTGTCTGGTGTGGGCAGGGTGGGCCAACATTTGGAGAGGCAGTTTGGCTTGGCTCCCACTGGCTGTGGCCCAAGAAGCACTGCTGTCCCTGGGGATAGGCCACTACGACTGCTAGACCATGACCTAAATCAGGAGCTGCTGGTTACCTATGCTTCCAAGCAGGTGTGGAACATGTGCCATAACAGTTCTGCCCACCTTTTAAAATACATTAAGCTGGTCTTGTTTTAGAAATAAAGAAATTTCTTGGCAACTGGAACCTGGTTCCTTTCTCAGGAGGTGGGCCAGCCTGGGACAGGTATAGCAGCTTTGGGTTGGGGGTAGGAGTGGTCAAAATGAGCACAAACATGTATATATGTTCGTGGGATCCTAGACTTGCTCTGTCCAGTATGGTAACTGTTAATCCCATAAATTTATTTAAATTACAATTAAATAAAATTTAAAATATAGTTGCTCAGTCACAAGAGCCACATCTCAAGGACTTAATAATCCTAATGTAACAAATGGATGCCGTATTGAACAGCAGAGATTAGACCCTTTCCAGAAAATTCTGTCCTAGATTATAAGGGGATGAAAGGGTCCTTGAGCAGCATCTTTTTCTCAGTAATTACAGGACAGACAGAATAACTGAGGCCCTGAGAAAGGAAGTAATTTGCCTAAGATTCCATAGCAAGTTTGAGGCCACCAGAAGGCTGAATGCTTGTCTTTTTTCCCCCACAAAAAAATTAACCAATTTTCTTTTATCTTGGCTTTTTGAAAATCCCCAACAGTCCTATGCAGCAACAATAAAACTGAAAAAAAACCAAAAAAAAAAACCCTAAGACAGAGCTGGACAGGCACTGTTTCCTCAGAGAAGTGAGAGGAGCAGGGAGGGGAGGACAGGACTCAAAAAGGATGGAGGATGAACCCAAGAGTTGAGCCTCAAATATCCTTACCTCCCCTCACCCTACCCTCTTCAGAGAAGGGAAGAAAGGGACTCACACACTGTCTCCTTGGATGAACAACTCTGGCCGTTCTTTTAGCAAATTCTTCTTGATCCACACAAGGAGGTTCCGGATGTCCCCTGAAGAGGAAGACACAGGACAAACTACTGTCAACCCCAGATAATTGCTGAACCCAGAGCTTTGCCTGGACCAGAAGGAAGTGAATGTGGGCCTCAGAGGACCTCTTGAGGACCAGGCTGTGATGGTACATGAACTTGTGGATTCCCAAGGTGAGGACAGGGGTTCGAAGAGAACAATGGTGTGTCAAAAGAGGTCTTCAGAGAAAAGTGGTACCTGGTAATGCTAACGGACTAAAGAAGATATGGTGCCATTTACCTATAGTAGGGGGACTGGGGCCAACAGTAGGAGGAACTATCACATTTGAAAGGATTGGGAGACAGTCCTCCAACCGTCTGAAACTGCCACAAATAGGCTGAGAGGCCTTAAAAAGCCCCATCCACTTTTATCTCTCCAACCAGTTCCAGATGGGGAAGATTCATCTCTGCTCCTGGAAGGGTCTGCATACATTTCCCTTTGTGAGGGAAGAAAAACAATTGCTAGGCGATAGCATCAGTTAATTTCCTCTGGCAGAGGAAGAGAGGCTCCTTCATCAGTGATGCTGACAAATCACTGCTCCACTATTCCCCACTTCCCGGTGTCCTCTAGGCCTGGGGCGATCACCCTGAAGCTAGGCTGCTGAGAACTCTGCCTGGAGAGACAAGTGACTCAGGGTCCAAAGGGCTGCTCCTGCTCAGCAGAACCCCGACATCTGCCTCCTTGTGGTTCTGGGACAGCCACCAGTCTTTCCCTACATGATGTGAAGGCTTACCTCTCTTTGATCTGAATGACTCCCTTCTCAGGAGCAGAGTTCCCAGATCACAGCACACTCTGATCTAGTTCCACAACCTCCTCAAAGTCTATAGCTTTCAGCTAGTTACTCCTTAAATAAGGCTGTTCTTCGAGGGTTGCTAAAGCCCTTCTCTTTCTCTCTCTTGTCCACAGCTCTGTTCCCAGTCTAGGCATGGCAGTGTATGCGAGACAGACTGACAGACAGACAGACAGACAGACAGACAGACAGACACACACACACACACACACACACACACACACACACACACACGGCATGTGCCATTTTTTAAGGCGCTCTCACTGGCAAGCAGGCAGGCTATACAGTCAGGCCTGCATCCTCGATGGACTATCCCCCTCTACTCTGTGCCAATTTCCTGGCATATGCCAGCAGAGTATAAGGCCATGGGTAAAGTGTCCATGGCCTGAGGTTGCTGCCTTTCCACCTTTAGTTCTTTTAAACAAAGCAAAATAGTCTTCTTGGTCCCTGGGGCAGGCTGGGGTGGGAGTGTTGCACCCATCTAGCTGCCCTCCACTGAGGCCGAAGTTTGAGAGGTTTCCCCTTGGCTCTGACTTCTATGGCCTCCATCTTGGCACTGTCTGGTGGGCTGCCAGCTCATACATCTTGTGGCCGCTCGATATAGCTGCTAGGGCCTGACACATCCATCAGCCAGTCTTGGTGGGCGGGGTTTTGTCTGTGTGTGCAAAGGAACTGAGGAGGACTGGGCAGTGCCTGGCCAGAGGGCCACCAGCTGCACCTTCACAGCTCTGGCTGGCTTGGATAGAAGGAGGAGTCGGCAGGGTAAGTCTCCCTCTAAAGCACAAGGACTTCTGCTATACTCTGGATAGGCTTGGGATGGGGAGGAGGAGGGTAGTGGATGTTTGGGTCATCTAAATGATGGTACCATCATGAAGTCCCAGAAGGGTGGGTGGGGTGAGTCTGCTGCTCAGCACAGGCTCATTTATCATGGTGCTCCTATTTGCTGAGGTCACTCCCTCCTCCTCTGTCCCCACCCTCCAAAGGCCTGCCCACATTCTTGATAGCTTGTTACCATGGAGAGGCCACTACATCACCATCCGTATTGTTCCCCCATGCCTGGATTTGGGGGTGGGGAGAGGTGGAACTCATGGCTCCCTTTGCAGACTGCAAGGGCCACTTGGCCTGGCCTGAAACACATCCCCAGGGACCTCTTGCTAGGCTTGTTGAGGCCCAGACAATATGTAAATAGCCTCCAAGACAGATGGTCTGCTTCCAGAGGCACCCAGGGGAGGAGGAAGGGTTAAACAGAGTAAGGGGCTGGTGGCTTGAGGGATGGCTCTGGGTTAGATGGGGACTTGGGCATCATATTTTCATCTTCCCCCCTCTATGTCAGGCCTTTCTATTCCTACTGAGGGTGGTCTCCCTCCTGAGATCCCATGCCATCATTCAAAGGGCAAATCCTTATTGAGCAACTACTAGGTACCAGGTGCCAGTGAGATGGCAGTGAATGAGACAGACACAGAGCCTACCTTCAATGAACTAACAGACCAGCAGGAAAGATGGACAATCAGTTACTTAATTAGTTGTGATAAATGCTACCAAAACATTCAAGGGGCAGTGAAAGCATTTACCATTCATCTGGGATTGGGAAAAGCTTTTCAGCGAGTGTTAACATTGCAACTGAGGACGAAAGAATGAGTAGGGTGAGATGGGAGAGCATTCCAGGAAGAGCAGATGGGCAGACCTGAGGGAGGATGGAATTGGGGTAGAGAGGGAAAGAAGACGAGCAAGAGCTGAGGCCAGAGCAATAGCTAGTGGCCAGATCATGCAGGGCCTTGCAAAGGTGCCTGTTCTGCCAAAGCTCTTTACCATGTACATCACTTCCTGGGCATCAAGCCCACACTGCTTGGGCCTGTGCTCCCACATTTCGTTGCCTCCACACGTGTATTAAGATCCAGCTCTATTGTAGACCATTACTGTTACCGGCTGCGTGTGCTGAGCACCCAGAACACAGCACAGGACTAAGCACACTAAAGATCCAAGATGTTTACTGAACAGCAATGAAGACAGAGGAGGAAGCAGGTGAAAGCACCGACTTCAGCAACAGAAGGTCTGGGTTTTTTAGTTCAACTCCATTGTTTCCTTGTTGTACTGACACTGGGTAAGGAGTTCTAAGTTTCAGTTTTCCTTTTTGTCAAACGGGGATGGTAAGAATGCCTCAGATGGTTATTGTAAACATTAATTAGATGATTGATCCACTGTACCTAGCACTCAAAGTAATTAAGTCCATGACCTGGAAAAAGAACCTGTATTCTCTACCCTTGCGTGATGTCATGAACTTGCCCAAACTCTGCCCAGTGGCCTGACATCCTGGAGACATGCTAAGCTTTGGAGGGTGGATACAGTCTACCACTAATCAGACAGTGCTGGGACTGGCTGTGGTTTTCTGTGGGGTATATTACCTTCCCATCAAAAACTGGAGAGGGAATGAGGAATTAGGAGGGTGGTGAGGGAGTCCTAGACACTGGACTTTCCTCCATTTTCCACATTCAGACCCACAAGAAGTCTGACACCCAAGGAAGGAATCACATTCAGAGACTGTGGGTTCTAGAGGCCAGACTGCCCCTAAACAAGAAGCATGGGAAAAGGGAAGATGACAACCCAAGTGCAGGAAGCCTTGGTACTTGAATTGCCCATTTTGGAAGAAGAAGGTGACAGGAGTTGCTGCTCTATGGTGGAATGGTGAGGAGTTTGGATACTGGAGCCAGAAAGGCCTGGGCTATGTGTCAGATGACCTTGGGTAGGAAACTGTTTTACCTCTCAGCACAAATGGAAACACTGATCTGAACTCCACAGAATTCTGAGAGGATGGTAGCAGCACACCCAGTACAATGTCAAACACAAGACATGCTCAAAAGGAGAAGTGCTTTGATATGAGAACCTAACCAGAAAAGCAGAGACAGCAGAAGAAATGGTGGCAGAGGGGATAGATAGCATAGGGAGATAGAGCAGTTGAGAATGCTAGGCCCATGGACTGAGAAAGGCTGTGTGCCTGCAAGCAGGAGGCAGGCTTACAATATGCACCCTTTGGACATTTATATGAATATATTTTTTGTTCTGTATGTGTACATCAAAAAAAAAAAAAAAAGGATGGGGGAGGTAAACACTGTTAATGATGGTACATGGAGGAGATTGTAATCATTGCAATGAAATGACATGATTTGCTGAATGTAAGACTGATGATCTACTCTGTAAACCTTCACTCGATTCACAATAAAAACTTGAAAAAAACAAAAAAAGGTAAGTGCTTTGAACTGTATGTGACTTTGGATTCCTTACTCACTCAGTTGGCAGACCCTCTCCTAAAGGTTCCTGGCAACGGGTACTATGTCATGTCTATCCACAATTTCAACAGGGGTCCCTTGCCCCAGCAGACTTGTCTTTATTTGGTGGACACCAACCACCCACTGTGGCAGAGTTCCCAAAGGGTGTGAACCCTAGTGTCTAAGGATTGGAAGTTGCTTGAATCCCCACTGCAACAGACCTAGACCTAGCAAGCCCTCATCCAGCCTCTTCTCAAACACCTCCAAGAACAAGGAGGTCAATTCCCCTATGAAGCAGGGCTCTTTTATCCCAAGCAGAACTGTGTTCCTGCACTTCCATCCAATGGGTTGAGTAGGTCTATGGAAAACACACCAGCAAATGCATCCCTTCTTCCCCAACATAGCCCTTAAGATTTGGAATAGAAAGACTGATTCTCTAAGACTTCTCTTCTATCAGCTGAACTGCCTGTACCACCAAGTCCACCAGGCTCTAAGACAGGCTCTATCAGGAGCCCACCCCAAACTTTAGTTGAAAAGGGAGAAGAAAGAGCTGGGGTAGGGGAGTAGGAGAGAAGAGGGGGTGGAGAGAACATCAGAGGGTCCATTTACAAGTGAATGGGGTAAGAATGGAGCAGTTTGTGGGCTAAACTGGCCTCTGAAGGAGGTTTACAGATGTGCTAGGGGACGCTCCTCATTGTTTAATTAAGCAGAAAGTGGATCTTTTCAAAAGCAATTTTACACAGGGGCTGGGAGGTGGGAGGGGGGCAGTGGAGGGAGGTAGAAAAGGGATCAGCAAATAGGCCGTGAGAGCAGAGAAAGGAACAGCTGGCCCTGAGAGGCTGTGAAGCGCATGCTAAGCAGTTTAAAGCGCCCAGGAGCTCCCTAACCCTCCCCCACCAGCCACCCTTTAATGTGAGCAGAGCAGACAGAG